GAGCTTTTTCTCTTATTTTAAGTGATTTTTCGTAAAATTCAAGTGCTGTCGAGTAGTCACCCATGTTGTTATACACTTGACCGATGTTGCTATATGTAGGAGCCAATGAAGGATGATCTTCCGGGACACTTTTCCGACAGATTTTGAGGGATTTCTCGAGAAATGACGCTGCCTCTGTGTATTCTCCTCGGTCCCGTTTCACCCATGCAAGCTGGTTATAGATAAATGCTTTATCACTGTCGTTGGATGTCTGTTCTAGTAGTGCTGTATATAATTCTTCGGCCTTGTCAAATTGACTTATTTTGAGCAGCAATTGACCCAGTCGATACCATCCAGTGCTGTCGACTTCTTCTCGTATACGATCGGTTAATTGACGCAGTTGTTGGTCATCATCCGACGTAAGTTTAAGGTCCACTTGATAAAGTGGACATTTTTTGTCAACTTGTCGAATTTCACGAATTCGAAAAACCGTGTGCATCGAGAAGAGAATTTCCTCTTCGTCCTTGTAATAACTCACCTCCTGAATGGAGGCGAAAGGAGTCGATGAGACAGTAGGATCTATTGTCATTTGGAAGAGGATGCCGACCATATCGGTTGTTCCTAATGCATCTTTGGCGAAACCGAGGGAAACATCTCGTTTTGTACTGGTGGATAAAAAGTTGTTGAAAGATATGAGACCACCTTTGTTTTTTGCAAGTTTTTCAAAGTCACTTGTCGATAATCCTTGACCCCTATAAACTAGAAAGGACTTTCCATGATACTGACTGACCTGTTGGCTGTGTAATTCTTCAATTTGCCGATGAACATCACACAGGAAAAATCCCATTCGGATGATAATGTCGCCATCCAATGTTCTTAATGCTCGATTGAGTATGTTGAACGTGAAGCATTGGCGTGTATACCACCATAACGCCAATGTTGGATGATAATCACGTTCAAATTCCTTGATTAATTTGAGTTCCTTGATATTGCCTTGGTATTGTTCTTGGCAATAAGTGACCAAATCTTTTATGGCTTCTTGGGCATGTTCCATATCAAGGAGTATTTCCTTGAATATTTGTGTATACATGAAGGAAGGCTCTAGCTGATTGAGATTTTCGCTAGAACCTCCTTCATTGACACCGATAATACTGACTGTTACTTGATCTTGATTGCATTGTTTGACAGCCAGTGCCAGTTTTTCACAGATGTGCTTAATTGATGTATCCACACCTTTAATTTTGGGCCAATTCTTAGCCCATTCTTGGTGACGTTGTTTGTTGCCACAAAAGATATATATGGCATCCAGTTTTGGCATGCCATGAATTTCTGGTACCAGGTGTTGTCCTAATGCACCTGAGGAGATGACAAATGATGTCTCCTCATTGTTTTCCTGGAGTTTCTGGATGCATTGGTCGGCCGTGGTGCATGGGTTGACTTCATTAACAACACTGCGCAATTGCGCGAGTGTATTCTGGCAATCTTCATTTGCCATGTCAATAGTACCATCGACCCAGATGACCAGGTAATTTTCAGCCATTCGTAGTCGTCGTTGTCTACTCATTTTCGATGTTGTTTTCGACGTTTGCTCGACAATTGAATATTGTGAAGGATCAATTGTTGTTTGGATAGAGACCACTGTTTTCTATTTATATATTCGATATTGGATGTTTTTTTTCTAGATTATTCTACGGCGTCAAATATGGGTACGTATTTTTTTTCGTTGATACTCAAAGATAAATCCCACCTACTTCCAATTGAAAATATGCTTGTCAAAAGCAAACGAAAGAAAAAGATCCAACAACATCATTTATCGTATCGTTATTTTTTCCAATTTTCGTTGGTTTTTTTTCTATTGACTTTTATTGACCCTATAAAACGAGGCTGACAATGCAAGATAAGAAGAAACTAAGCAAAATTAAATAGAATGATAAGAATAAGATAGCAAGAAGAAAGATACAAAGACAATAAGTAGAGGTATCATCATCATAAATTTGTAGGCTAGTACGATCTTCTATTGGGATGTGTGTGCCTAGGTAGATGGGTTTCCAAATGTGAGTATGGGTGGATGTGGCTATGGGTGTATGGTGTGGATTGGTGTTGGTGGATTCGGTTGTGGCTGCAGTTTCGAATGGGCGTCGATGTGAGTTGGTACAGCTGTAATTATGAGTAGTGGATGGTTATGTGGGAGCGGAAGCAAATGATATGAATGTGGTAGTGGGTATCGATGTAGGCGCGGGTATGGTGGGCATGGGTGTGGGTGTGAGTCTTCTCTTCAGCAAGTACACCCACACCCACCCACATCCACACCCATCCACAATCACACCCTCATGCCTTCATTCTTCTTCAAGTTAAAAACCTTGTCGATCATGTGAAACAGTAGAGTAATGGTTACAGTTGGCGTGAATGATGTCAGGCCTCTTCATGCCCTCATGCCAAGATAGATAGATAGCGTCTCCTTGTAACTTGTATTTTGAAAATTTCCAATCCCTTCGAACCAGCCATTGATTTTACTTTTTATCTTATTTCGAAGGATACTCTTGCACGTCTCATTTCATTCTAGCTCTCTGATCATTAGTAAGTCGACTACAGACTAGCATTCGACAATGTTCACATCAAAATTACTGAAAAAAGAAGTTCTTCAACGGATGCACGCCGTTTTTGTTGATATTTTGCCCATATGTATGGTTTGATGACACTAGAAAAAAGTCTAAAAAGATAACGGTGCATAAGCTTTCCTTCTCGAATGATGATCATTTTACTTGCTTTACCACCTATAACAAGGGATTCAGTGAAAAATCAGCTTTCATGCTCATGCAGGTCTTATGACCTATATATTAGGCTTAAGGTTGCAGTCAAAATAAATGCTTCTTTCATAAAATATTGATTTTTCCATAGAAGTCGATTTTCCTGAGATGTATGTAGCATGTTAATATTTTCGTGAAAACGCAATATTTGGAGAAAGAGGCGTTTGTTTTGACTTGAACTTTTAGGCTAATATATAGGCCATAAGACTTGCATGTGGACAAAATTTCAGATCGAAATTTCTCAATTTGATTTTTCGCTGAATCCCTTGTCCTAGGTGGTAAGCCAAGTAAAATGATCCTAACTTGAGAAG